AAGATATCATCACGAAATGAACAAATCTGAGAAAGGACCACATGTAGTATCTATATATGTAATATCAAAGCAATTGGACTTGCGGTTTTTAACAAGAAGTCGAAAATATCACTATTTACCAAAAATGACAAAAATATTCACCAAAATTAGAGAATTGAGGATATCATCACAAAATGAACAAATTTGAGAAAGGTCTACATGTGGTACCTATATATGTAATATCAAAGCAATTGGACTTTTGGTTTTTAACAAGAAGTCGAAAATATCACTTTTTACCAAAAATGACAAAAATATTCACCAAAATTAGAGAATTGAAGATATCATCACGAAATGAACAAATCTAAGAGAGGTCTACCCCAGGTACATACACACCAAGTATCAAAGGACTCAGGCTTGTAGTTTTCAAGAAGAAGTCGAAAATGTAAAACATTGACACGGACGACGATGAACGCCGACGGACAATCACTCATATGATAAGCTCCGCTCGACAAAGTCGACAGCGGAGCTAAAAATAGCTAGACGGTTCGAGCAATGGCTCTTTATCGATACTCCAGCTGTACTGTCAAATACTACGCGAGAAGAAAGATAATAAATTGTAATTACATTGTAGAATCAAAGGTGGCTGTACTGTCTTCGTGCATACTTTCAATTTATGTACTACCTCTTAGACATCGATGCCACCTAATGACCTTCAAAATTCTTCGATTTTCTGCAATTTTCATTTTTAATTGCTTTTGTTTTTTTCTACGTATGTGTATTTGTATGTGTCATGTCACTTTTCCATTCCAATGGAAGTTGATTGATTAAATAAATACATAACAAAAAAAATAATTGTCCACTTACCAATAACAGCAAGGAGTTCATAGTGACTCGGAATCGGTAAATACTCAATCATGGTGCGCAAAGATAAACATTCAAAAGAAATATCACTAGCCTGAAAAAGACACAAAATTACTTCTGTGTACTTGAACCACGGCTACTATTGACATACATTGTACATTGGGATAGAAAACACAATAAGACATACCAGAAGTACTTTGATACATTTTTACTCCTGGGTGGTGTTTATTTATGGCAACATTTTGACAACATAGGGTGTAAGCAAAGACAAACATAAGACAAACAAATACTAAGTGAGAAGGAAGCTAATAAATTGTAATTCCATTATAGAATCAAAGGTGGCTACTAATAGTAATACTTCTAAAGTGGAAATACGTATACAGTTGCTTATAGTATTTACACATCTGTATATGCATATTGATTATTATTATACATCTGTCACCGTAAAAACATAAGTTACAGCGTGTCGTAATTTTGCAATATTTTACGGGGTATTTTCATCTTACCATATAAGGAAATGTGAATTCCAAATATGGAATGACTACGCACGTAAGCGTCTTCTAATAATAAAAACAAAGATGGCTGCCACTAGGGTTTGACCGGACAAAGAAGTTCGCTGATTCTGTACTAAACTTTTTGGATTTCGGCATTCCCACGTTTTATCCTTAGAAGGAAAAGATATATAATAATAAGGTTATTACGAGGATACCTCATATTATGCACTCAGACAGTACTACGCCGTCGCATCGACCTCCACTGCACGTCGGTCGCTACTCCAGCTGTACTGTCTTCATGCATACTTTGAGGTATCCTCGTAATAACCTTATAGTATACATATCAGAAGTAGATTTAAATGCTATGTAAGAAAAATATCAATTCAGGGAATATATCGACAGTCACTGACTGCAATTCAACGCTTGGTGGATGGTATGGAAGAGTTAATGTAACAAATTTACATGGAGTGACTCGTAATTGAGGGTCGCTCCTATTTGAGGGTTATTACGACACATGGAAATGAAAGGTTAGGTATGAAAATTGATGACTTACTAAAGCGGTTGAAGAGTCTCCTTCACGTACTGGATCGGTGCATGTTCCAATCCCTACTTTAGATTTAGTTACACATGGACACAGCTAGATTAGAAATAAAATAGGTTTCTTTATATTTATATTAGTAACAACCACACCATTATAAAGCATTGCTGCACTACTGTTTTAGCTTGTTTAGTCTCTGCTGGGGTAAACACATCACTCAAAGCAAGGGGATCTAAGAACTATTTTTTCCAAAGAAAGCATCTCTTTTATTTTTGGTTGAATAATGCAGATTGTTTTTTTAGAATTTCTTGCTATTAAGGTAGTTCACTACCAGTACAATCATCAATGGAATATCATATTTCCTTTATATTTACAATATTTACTACACATGTGTATAGTCACTAAACTCGTTTTCGTGCAAAACATGTATCAAACACCTATACAAATTTCTGAGCCATTTAGTGGCATAAAACGTGAGTTGTCATGAATTCGTAGAAAATTCTGATGGATAATATTTAGTTTTTAAGTACCCAAAATATCTAATTTTGCATTTTCTTTCAGATGTAGTTGATTAAATCTAAATGTCTCAACAACAACCTTGTTTTGAACTTTTCCCATGATACAATGCTTGAAACAGAGATGTTCCAAAGACAGACGTATCATTATCCAAGATTCTAAGAATTAATTAACTGCCATATATGTAATGTTTGTTTTTTCAAAATTGATCCAGGAGATAGGTTCTAAGGAATTAACCCTTCTTAGAATGAGGCTTCAATAGGATAATGTATTTGCTCTGTTGGAGACAGTCCTTGTCAAAATAGTATACAAATCCTGGATGTAAATGTGAGGTTATATAAATGATCTCTCCACTGAGCAAATACAATAACTGTGTTGTCCCCATTGATAGCATAATATTTACACATATCTTAATGTATGGTATGAAATGAAGATGAAATGCAATACAATGAATGCTTTGGTTACAATTCCATGTTTGGTGCAGAGTTGACACATTCCCTAATTGTATTATATATGACGTACTGTGTGATATATATGTGTGAAGTTTAATTAAACTTGATTTGCCCAGGCATGTATGGGATATGGCTCTGTAAAATTGTATTCATTTAAACAAGATGACTACCATTCAGCCATTTTGCACCCAATATGAAAAATTATCTTCAATCTGTGTATCAAGTTTGAAGAGCATCCGTCCACGCACCGCTAAATTCGGGTTCCGAAATGGAGAAAATGTGTTATTTTGAGACATTCTTGGCATCAAATGACGAAACAAATGCATGTCTGATATGATGTACATGTAGAGTTTATACTTGATCAGTCCCGGCATGTCAGATATATGGATCCAGAACTGCATTCTTTCAAATGTTCAATGTACCAGTATCTACCATGTTTAAACCAAATCCATCCAGGCAAGATTGAGTACCGGTGTCAGAATAGTGAAAATGTGTGATTTGGGCATTAAAACGATTTGCCATTCAGCCATCTTGAATCTGATCATGATACAAATTCATTCGCATAAGTTCGATATAATGTCTAATCATGATGTAATATTGAAGTTTGAACTTGATCGGCCAATGCATGTGTGAGATATGTCTGGATATGAATGGACACATGGAGGTCAATTCATAAGTCCTCAATTTCAGTCTTCATCCGAACAGGACTAAGAATGAGTCCACTGATGTGGTATATACTGTATTCATTGTATTAGGCACACTTACAAAAGGGTGTACCCAGATCTATGGGAAACAACAAGACGCTGCATGTTTTTGAAATGAGCTGGTGTAAGCTACTGATCAGTGTGCATTAAAATGTGGAACTCTGTAAAAAGGTGAACAATAGAGCAAATACAACATGAAATCAAATTGTTTTGCAACACTATGAAGCACTGTATCACTAGGCAAGCAAATACATTATGATAACTATCTGTAAATCTAGTCACGCAAATCCATTCCAAAACATGCTTCATTAGCAGACCATGTGTGAATAGAAGCTGTCACTCACAATTCCTCCCATGTTAACTGGAGGGGGAGCGGGTTAGGGTTAGTGATTAAAGTCCTACTAGCGTTGAATACATTACATGGACACACCAGTTAACCAATGATAAATCTGCGCAGGAAAACACACTGGCGACATCAATTCTATATGTGAACCACAACAATTATGTTAAAAAGCACGTAGAGAAGCTGCCAGCTTTGTAGGCACTGCACCAAACGATTACTTACAAAGAATGACATGGAACTCTCTCCAATCTTCAATTCATTCAATGGTTTACCATCCAATTTTGAATATATTTTCTGATAATGATGATATTTTTCTGTTATTACATACAAAGAAGAAAACTGATTAGGGAATGTATTTAAGAAAAAATTAACAAATTATAGTCAAACCTGTGTATAGTGACCACCCAAGGAACTTGGACATTAAAATGTTTTTTTATGGAGGTCAAAGTCCTTTTTATGGATCGCCAACATAATATATGTCCAGAAAACAATGAGATGGTATTGGTGCAACAAAAACACAATTACTTGAGTTGATCTCAATCAAAATAAAATGAAGTTTGACTTAGGAATTGTTCTATACTTCATTCTTAGTGTCATAACAAAAAAAATTACGTGATTAATAAACAAAATCGAAGCAACATTTCCAGACTACAATGAGAGGACCCCCAAAACAGCAGAAAGGTAAACAGATCACCACATACAAACTGCAACAAACTAAACCATTTTTAAATATATGCAATAAAAGTTTATCAAATAAGAAAACTTGCACTGTAATATTCGAATTTCGCCCTATCAATTTCATTTGGATGTCTTCTTTTTAATTCTGTTGTTGTACGTCGAACATAGAGCTACGGGATCTATCACCGTTTAAAAACAGATATCTGGCATACGTAAATTAAATCGCTTTTACTTTCGATTACGATGGTGTGACGTACCTTTATTGTGAATTGATCACTGGATGAATAACATACAAATTTTGTTTGCAATTTGTGTTTATAGATAAGCAATAATTTGTGATATTTTCAAACAATTATCGCGGAAACCAAGCAAATTACAAGAAAACGGCAGCCATTGACATCCCACACTCCCTAGCGCAGAATAAATTTAATCTCGTTCGACGGTCATGTGATACAGTGGTGCACAGTCCCTCAACGTTGAAGGACTGTGAGTGGTGGAAGAATAAAACACTCTTCCCATAACCAGTTGGCAAAACTGCCACACAATTATTCCCCAGCAATTATGTATTTATTACTTTTTTTGCTTATCTTTTAATTGATAAGGTATCCATTGTCAGATTGACTCCAGTGATAGGCTCAAAGTTTTAGAAAACAAACATGGGGACCCCTCAAGTTGGTGTCTATTTTTATACACATTTTCTATATTCACTCATGTTTATTTAAATTATTTATTGCTTTTATGAAATGTTATTCTCATTGTTCCAAGAAAGCAAACTCATACAGTATTTATAATTGTATAATTTTTGTTTAATAATAGAAACTAGCTGCATAACGCAATTTATCTACTGATTTTGGTCACGTGGTACAAAACTATCGGTCTCGCATAATTTGCTATGAACCCTGGAATCCAAAATGGCGTCTTTCGTCTTGTTATTTTTCTCCGACTCGGTGTACGGTAAATAAAGTCAATTTTTTATGACCACCTTCATCATTTCACAGCGCAAATAGGTTCTGGTCATTGTTTTGAAGTAAATAAACATAGTGAGTACTTTCGAAGGTCTTAAAATGTGATTTTCGCGACGACTAAATTTGGCATGTGGATTTTAACCGGTATTCAGTCGCACAAGGCTCCATAGCCCTATGGACCGGCCAGAGTCAGTCACGTAAATAATGCGGTCGGCAACATAGGGCTATGATTCCACAACTATGTAACACCTGTATAGGATTGTACATTACTAGGAATATTCTAAGTGAGATTACGTCATAGTGTTGTTACGTAATTATTGTCTATATTTGTGAAAACATCGGTGTCATTTTCATAATAACGATCA